TTGATAATCAGGTATATCCAAATGCAATCCCTCCCCTCACACCCCTCTCTCCTCCCCATGATAAGGGCCCGCGTGTGTGATGCTCCCCTTCCGGAGTCCAAGTTGATCTCATTGTTCAGGTTCCCACCTATGAGTGAGGAACATGGGTGTTTGGTTTCTTGTTCTTTGATCGTTGCTAAGAATGATGGTTTCCAGCTGATCCATGGTCCCCACAAGGAACCAAATCATCCTTTTTATGGCTGCGTAGTTTCCATGGCGTTATATGTGCCCATTTCTTAATTCAGTCTGTCACTGGATGGACATTTGGGTTGATTCCAAGTCTTTGCTATTGTTGAATAGTGCCGCAACTAAACATACGTGCTGCATGTGTCTGTTAGCAGCAATAATTTATAATCCTTTGGGTATACTACCAGTAATGGGGATGGCTGGGTCATATGGTACATCTAGTTCTAGCTCTGAGGAATGGCCATACTGTTTTACCATAATGGTTGAATAATTTACAATCCCATCAACAGTTAAAAAGTGTTCCAATTTTCCCACATCCTCTGCCAGCACCTGTTGTGTCCTGCTTTTGAATGATCGCCATTCTAACTGGTGTGAGATGGTATGCTCATTGTGGTTTATTTGCATTTCTCTGATGGCCAGTGATCGGAATGAGCATTTTTCATTGTGTCGTTGAGCTGTGCATGAAATGAGTTCGTGTTCATGATCGCGCTTTGCCACTTTTGACTGGGGGTGTGTTGAGTTTTTTCTTGGGAATTGTTGTTTGAGTTTTTGGTAGGGTCTGCGCGATATGACCCTGGTTGTCAGGATGAGTAGATTGCAAAATTTGTCCTCACATTCTGTAAGGTTGCCTGTTCACTCTGATGGAAGTTTCTTTTGCTGTGCGAATCTCTTTGAGTTTTAATGAGATCCCATCTTGTCATTTGCTTTTGCTGGCCGTGTTCGCTTTGGTGTTTAGACATGAAGTCTTTGCCCATGCTATGTTCCTGAATCGGTACTACCCTAGGTTTTCCTCTAGGATCTTTTATGGATTAGGTCTAACTTTAAGTCTTAATCATCTTGAAATTAATTTTGCGTATAAGGAGTAAGGAAGGATCCAGTTTCACCTTTCTACTATGGCTAGCCAATTTCCCAGCACTCATTTATTAAATAGGGAATCCTTTCCCCTTTTTGTTTCTCTGAGGTTTTGTCAAAGATCAGATGGCTGTAGATGGTTTGTGGTATGTTTTCTCAGGACTCTGTTCTGTCCATTGGTCTATATCTGCTGTTTTGGGTACAGTCCATGCTGTTTTGGTTACTGTAGCCTTGTGTAGTATAGTTTGAAGTCAAGGTCGCGTGATAGCTCCAGCTTTGTTCTTTTGGACTTAGGATTGTCTTGGACCAGTGTGGGCTCTTTTTTGGTTCCATATGAACTTTAAAGCGGTTTTTTCCAAATTTGTGGAAGAAACTCATTGGAGCTTGATGGGGGATGGCATTGATCTATAAATTACCCTTGGGAGTATGGGCCATTTTCAACGATTATGATTTCTATCCATGAGGCGATGGTATGTTCTTTCATTTTGTTTGTGTCCTCTTTTATTTCACTGAGCAGTGGTTTGTAGTTCTCCTTGAAGGAGGTCCTTTACAATCCCTTGAATAAGTTGGTTCTGGTATTTTACTATCTTTGAAGCAATTGTGAATGGAGTTCATTTCCTGATTTGGTCTTGTTTGTCTGATTACTGGGTATTAAGAAGCTTGTGATTTTTGCACATTCAATAATTGTTCAGGCTTGGCTTTTACAAAGTCACCACGCTTTTGAACTAAAACGTTTTGACGTTATTAAACCAGAGGAGGAGGAGAGATGCCCTTCTGAATAGCAAGACAGAAGGCAGAGACAAGCAGCAGCGCTGAGCGGGTTCCGCGCCTCAGCCATGGACGTGAAGACGGAAGGTTCGCAGTTCTGACTGCCGTGGGACACGGGCAGGTCAAGATGGAAGAGATCATTCCAATTAAATTCAACCAAAAGGTTGACCCCAACGTCCTGTAATTAACAAGTTGAATTGGGATACGAAGGTGTGTGAGTGGCGTGGAAAAGATGTGTTCGATCAACAGCAAAAAACTTCTGGGATGGCTCTGTGGCATTTGTTTTTAGTTCAGTTTTCAATGTTGAAAGGCACGTGGGAAGGAGGTACACATTTGCCCTCGTTGCACACATGCTGTGATAAGTTGCTGCAATTTGCCTGCTGCTTGTGTTGCTCAGAAACTCTGGTGGCAGTGCGCGTTGAATGTGTAGGACGGACTGCAGAGACACCGAATGCCGACTCCTCCACGAAACAAGTGCCTTACCATGCTTTAACCCGACGGGGAGGGCACGTTCTGGAGGCAGAAGGCAGAACCTCAGATTTCAGCACAATTGGCCCTCTGAGACTGGGACCATGTTCTAAGGAAGGGACGCCCCCCACCCCAAGTGCCCCACCCGACAAGAACACACAGATGGAGCCTGCTCTGGCAGGAGGCAGCTGCGTTGAACCTCCAGTCCTTTTATCAAAGAGGGAGGCACGTTCACCTGGATCCAAAGTGACTGGAGGCATTTTCAGAGCCCGATTTGCTTCCCATGGCGTGGACCCTGATCTCAGCAAGGTCTACGTGAACATGAGCCAGAGCTGCATGCCTGAGGACCGGATCATCCTTGATTTTGGATGGTCACCTTCTTTCCTCAGCAAAACAGGTCCCCTTATAGGAAACAGAGGCCCCTGTCTTGTGTCTCTACAATGTTTGGCGATAGGGAACCAGCCACATACAGAGCTTGACTCTTGAGGGCTCAGTAGTCATCTCATGAAATAAAAGCCAGGAATGAGATTCACATGGAAATCAGGAAAGTAGGCTAGTGAAACTGACACAATCAACACAAAAGAAAATGTGCAGGAAGGACACAAGGATTATATTCTTTAAAACAGGTTGCATGGGATTATAGTAGGTTGGCATGAGCCTCATGTGGTATAATAATAGAAGATGAAAGCAGTCTCTGACACCTGGCCTGCGCCGCCATGTGCATATTCATCATGCACTGCTGATTGGCACACCACACGTCAGAGTCGGACATGATCAATTCTCCTGTAGGAAGAGTTTCACTGGCACTCGGTTTTTCATGATGTGAGGGTGTTTGGACTTTGCTGAGATAAAATAGAGGTTGATCATATGACTAATGAGTGATTACAGGTGGATTATCTGGCAATGATGAATACAAATAGGTATTGTTTTTTGGAAGGCACCTTAGAACATGCTAAACTGAACTCATGTTCATGTAGACAGTGTCAAACGGTCCTCATTCATTATCTTCAAATCAAATATGGCATGATAGAAGGAACGGCCGTGCAGTGCTCACAGATTTTAATAGGTGTAAATGGAGAAAGTGGTGACTTCGGAATTCTGCGCATGGATTCCAGAATGAGCAGAGGAACAAGGAGAGGAATGGGTGAGAATGATGCACAGACATTAGGGCCCAACAGGGACAAATGTAGCTTTCAAATTCCTGGTCCAAAGCCCCAGAAGGGAAATGTTTACCCAGAATGGTCTGCCTGGAGGAAGCGAGGGAAGCACCCGGAGGGAGTGGACTCACGTGGGTGATGAGGAGCCAAATCCATTTTCAAAAACAGACACCAACTTCGAGGTACCGTGGCTCCTTCAACCCAGTTTATCTCCCGCACCCACCACATGCGGCTCTATCCTCCCTTCCCAGACAGGAATGCAGAGCCCTGTGGGGCTCTGGTTTTACCATGTCCACTCTGGGCTACTTCAGTGAGGAACTCAGTGCAGGCTTGGAGCCACACTGACTCACAGATGTCAGTTCCTTCGTTCCAGAGTCTCACAGACACAGATGAGAAATAACAGTGAGATGTGTTGTCAGGAGGTTGAGAAAATCTTCTCGAAGTCAGGTGTGGGATTTCGGGAGGAGTGGCAGGCGCGTTCTAAGGACAAAGCCCATCGAAGTGGTGTATGACACCAGTCCATGCAGAGCCCAACCAAGGGAGTGTCTCACTCCCAGCCCTGTTGGGAGGGCACCAGCACCAAGAACCCAGGCACATATCGGAAGGTGTGCTCAAGCAGAAGCTTGGACAGATGGTCCTGCCCATGGAGGATGAAGGGTGACTCACAGCTCTGCCTCTCAACAATTTTGCCACATCAATAGAGTTTTTTTTATTTGTGACCCTGCATTATGACTGAAAACATTTTCCATGCAACAGACATAAAATGACCACTTCACTTCCTTTTCTTAGGAACAAATGGCATAGATGCATTTAAGTGAATGGCAAATTTATCTTCAACGAATCAAGGAGCATGTGTTCTCTTTGTTGATCTCCAAGATGTACACCCTGTTACGACGACTTCGATGCGTTTTGACCACATCATGCACACTGGCTTGTGTTGGATTTGTAGTCATTAGAACTTCTTCGGCTGGACTGGACCTCTTCCAACCCAGGAGTTTCCTGCCACGTTTTATACTAAAAATCTACTGTAGATGTGCCATTTGACCTATTAATAGGTTTATTCGCTCATTTCTTCTTATTATTTTTAAATACTGACATGGCCAACTTGAGTTTCAAGTCGTCCCACCAGCACCTCCTATCCCAACGCGAGATGACACCTGGCGATTCTCGAAGCTGACGTGGCAGAGACCTGCCTAGGGCTGGAGTGCAGTGGTACAATCTTGGCTCACTGCAACCTCCGCCTCCTGGGTTCAAGTGATTCTCTTGCCTCAGCCTCCCGAGTAGCTGGGATTACCGGCACGTGCTGCCACGCCCAGCTAATTTTTGTATTTTTAGTAGAGACAGGGTTTCACCATGTTGGCCGGGATGGTCTCAATCTCCTGACCTCGTAATCCACCGATCTCAGCCTCCCAAAGTGCTGGGATTACAGGCATGGGCCACGGCGCCCAGCCTATACCCTTTTTAATATTTTAACTTTTTGACTTTTTTTAAATAACACTTAGCTTAAAGCACATATTGTACAGCTGTACAAAAGTATTCTCTTTCTTTATATCCTTATTCCATTTTTTAATTTTTAAAATTTGTAATTTTTCTCCTACTTTTCAAACTTCTTTGTTAAAAATGAAGAGACAAACACACACATTAGTCTGGGGCTCTACAGGGAGGGTCAGGATCATCAATATCACTGTTTCCCACCTCCACATCTTGTCCCACTGGAAGGTCTTCAGAGTCAGTAACATGGACAGAGCTGTCACTTCCTATGATAGCAATAATTTCTTCGGGAATATCTCCTGAAGGACCTGCCTGAGGCTGCTTTACAGTTAACTTAAAAAAAAAAAGTAGGTGTGCACCCTAAAATAACAAAACAACAAAAAGGTGTAGTACAGTATATATATAAACCAGTAGCATAGTCAGTTATTATCATTATCAGGTATTAGAGACTGCACTATAATTATGTGGGCTATACTTTTGTATGACTGGTAGTAGATGTGTTTACAGCAGCATCACCACAGACTTGAGTAATGCTTTGTGCTGCAACATTACCACAGATATGATGTCACTAGGCAATAGAAATTGTTTAGCTTCTTTATAATCCTATGTGGCCACCATCCTATATGCGGCCTGTCATTGACTAAAATGTCATGATGTAGCACATGACTGTAGTTGGAACTTGCTTTTTTGTACATGTTGATAATGACTGCCTTTTGATTGTGGTGTTTAATCCATTACATTTAATTATTGATATGATTAGATTTACATCTGCCATTTTACTATTTGTTTTTGTATGTCCCATGTCTTTTTTCCCCATCCTATTTTGCTGCCTTGTCTTGTGTTAAACACATCTTTTTTTTTTTTTTTTTAGGTGAGACATTTTAAGTCCTAAGTTATTTTATTAACTATTTTGAAATTTAATTTTCTTTGTGGTTACTCTAGGGATTATAATATATATCTTATCACAATCTACTTTAGCTTAATACTGGGAATTTTGAAAAATTTAACAACTTTATTGTAATATAGCTCCATTTCCCCATTCTTTGTGCCATTAATGCCATATTTATTATACCTATATATGCCATAAATCCAACAGAACAGTGATATAGTTATTGCCTTATGCAATCATATATTTTTAAAAACATTTTAAACTATTTTATATTAACAAATGTATATATATTTATGTCATATGAACTTATATATATCTATAAAGATACATTTAAACAGAACATTTAAAAGAAACTCATATTAAACAAGAGAAAAAAACCTGTTCATACAGCCTTTTATGTTAACCCACATATTTATCATTTCCATTGCTTTTCATTTCTTTCTGTGGATTCATTTTCTGGTATCATTTTCTTTTAACCTGAAAGTCTTCCTTTAGTATTTCTTACGGGACAGTTCTGCTAGCTACAGATTCTGTTTTTGTTCATCTTTCTTTTGAGGCAGAATCTTGCTCTGTCTCCCAGGCTGGAGTGCAGTGGCACGATCTTGGCTCACTGCAACCTCCACCTCTGGAGTTCAAGTGATTCTTGTGCCTCAGCCTCCAGTGTAGCTGGGACTACAGGTGACCGCCACCACGCCTGGCTAATTTTTGTATTTTTTGTAGAGATAGGGTTTCACCATGTTGGCCAGGCTG